GATATTACACTGCTTATTTACACCAGTGCAGGAAAATCAAGGCTGTTTCAGTTGAGGGACATCTGAACTGTATTTTTCACTCCTCAACTAAATCTCACAAGTAAATCCTGTTAATCCAGCTACCTTTAAAGACAGGTGTAAAACTGCTTGCTGCAGCAGGAGTAGGACTGCACCCCCAAATTAGTGCTCATCTCTGCCATGGAAGAGGGCAGCTGTTACAACAATGTCACACTATACCAGTGGGGGCAAACCTTTCTGGCAGGCATGCCACAAACTGGTCCTGCAACCTCCCCAAATGCTACTCAAATCCCTTTCCCTTCTCCAATCTGCTGCTCGGCTTTCTGCTCCCTGACCTAGCTGCTGCTGTGCTTTCTGCCGTGTACTCCCTGCCTGATCTGATGCTCTGCCTTATGCTCCATGTCCCCTCCCCAATCTGCCATGCACCACACAGAGGTTGACCACACTACTTGTGGCACCTGCGCTGTAGGTTGGCCACCTCTGTGCTAGACAATCATTCAGGATAGGAAGAAAGCAGTCTTCCACTGCAACTGCAGAGCGTAATGAGGCAAACAGCACTTAATCATAAAACCACTGCAAACAGGTCCATTAATGACTGACTATTTAGTAAACACATTTTCTATAGAAAAGAGCCACATCCAAAGCAGGTATTTGCTTGGGTATTCTTTTTTCCATTTCAAGGGAGGGGTGCTCTTTCAGAGTAAAATGGAAAAACAGAAAATTGATTGTGGTCTTGATGAGATTATTAAAATCAGCTGCAAACCAACGAACAACACGTGTCTACCATATGGCTGGCCACAGAAGGTATCACTTTACAAAAATATGACTGAAACTCTAGTGGACTACTTTCTTTGCGCCGTGCTCCGGAAAACACACCAAACATGACGCTGCCTTTCCAAATAATGTCCAGAACAAGATAGGGGGTGCTTTATTTTAATAAGTCTGAGCACTAATCAATATTAACAACATTTAACTAGTTCAATGTAGTTTGAGAGAGACCCCCCCTGTTTTCAGAAGGTTTACAACCTGCTAGCATCTGATGAAGTGACCCTGGGCTTGGGAAAGCTTATGCATCTCTAACTTAGTTCATGTATAAGGTGCACGGTGCCTGACTTCAGGCTAACTACTTCTTTTTACTAATCTCTAACACAAGCAGAGGAAGGAGTAGAGCCATTAATGCCCAGTGATCCCTGCCCTGCCAACACAAAATGAAATTCCTAAAAGATCCCACCCCCCCAGAGTCCTGAGGCCCCAAATTACTCAGTGCTGGGTGTGTCACCGCCTTCAGTCTCCTCCAGATAGACTAATCCTACGAAAAGTCCAGCCTGAGTCACCCTGATGAGCAGGTGAGAAACAGCAGGTTGCCAGGGACAGTTTCAAGTGAGTGAGCTGAGCTGCCAACACCCAGTGAGGACCCCAGGGGCACCTGGAAGATTCCTCCCCCCGCCATCCTGGAGTAAGGCACCATGAAACGTTAAGCACAGAAGACTGGGAAACCTGAGAAGGAAGGAAGGAAGGACGGAAGCTCATTTACAGGACACGTTGGATGCTGAGTGGGGAAGACGGCCGGCCCTCACCCCACGAGCAAGTAAAGCACTACAGACAGCTCCCATGTAGCTCATCCTCCCTCAAAGGAAGATTTGGGGAGCTCTGGGGAGTTATCCCCACACCGCTCCCATCCATTGGGGGCAGGGGAGGGTGCGCTCCTGCACGAGGGTCCAACGGGCGCCAGGGCCGCGCGGGGCCCCCGGTGTGAGAGCGGGGAAGGGAGGGGATGGGCGCCCGCCCCACACGCACTCACTCCCCCCACCCCGGGCGGGCGCTCACCGGCGGGGCGCTGCCCCCTTGCTGCTCCGAGGCCACCAGCAGCACGTCCCA